AGATGCAATTCGCAGTTAATTTTGACAGTAATTCTATTTAATCCTTTTTTGAAAATGTCTTTGGTTCTATTATGTTAGTAGAAAAATGGTTTGATCATTGGTTTGTTATTTAGAGTGTTTCATTGATAAAGAGTATGATAGGACACAGAGCAGAGTGAGGATATCAAGGGTCCAAGTTCAGACATTGAACTTGGCCCATTTACGCATATGGGTGTAAAATTAAGACTAGGTGGTGTTTTAGAAGAAAATCTGGACCAAAAGATATTTTGAGCTCAAATTGGCCGAGGGGTGTGTTTTGCAACAAAGTAGTCAAATATGAGGGTCCGGCCAATGAGGGTCCAAGTTCAGATATTGAACTGGGTATGAAATACATGTGGGGTGTAAACTTAGTTTAGTAGTAAAATACAGGGATATGTAAGTAGTAAGGGCCCAAGCTCAGCAGTTGAACTTGGTCCAATTAAGCAGCGGAGTTTAATAATATCTTTGTAAAATATTAATTAATTAAGAAAAAGTTGTTTGTATTTTTATTTATAAATGATGAATATTTTGATTTAATAATAATAGAAAAAAACTAATTAAATTTTGAATCCGACGTGAATCTCTTTCCATTGGAATTAAATTGTTTTATTTCAAACTTAAAAGAATAATAACCAATATAAAATAGGAAGTAAAAAATGAAACAAAATCTAAATTTGACTTTTTCAAATCCAATCTCCTATTTTTATTGAAACAAAATCCAAATTTGACTTTTTCGAAACCAATCTCCTATTTTTATTAAAACAAAACGTGGAAGACTAACAAAACAAAGACTATTTTCTCTTCCACATATATCAACATATCTCAAAGCACATAAGAGACATTTATTCAAATTAACAATATCTCCAATCTAAAAGACACAACATGGAAGGCATTTTAAATATTAAAAATAAATATAATTAACATACTACTATTCACTTACTTGACTGTAGAGAGAGTCCAGTTCTAAATCCATATGCTTTTCACCGACACGCTCCACTTTCTTTCTAACACCTTCTTCTCAATTTCTCTTATTCTTCGATCAAACTTCTCCTTGTATCTTCTCTATAAACTAAAACACAAACAAAAATATGGACTTAGATTTGAATTAAAGAAAATATTAAAGGTAGCTTACACACAAGAGATCTGCGACGTGAGATGTGTAGTTGTTGCTTAGTGATTTTCTTCGTCTGCAGAGCGGATACGCGGTGGTACGTGGCTGGTCTAGTTGGAGCTCTGGGGGTTGTGTGTGATAGTGTTAGAAAACTCTCCCCCCCAATTGTGAGAAAAATTTTAGGTGTTCTATTTAGAATCCTAAAATAATTGTTGATAAGATTGTTGATCTCCAAATAACTGTTGATGGAGACTTCAAGGTTTCTTTGTTGTTGTTCTTCAATGTGAAAAGAAACAACTTTTAGGAGAACTCTAATGAGCCGTGGATGAAAAATAGTGTGAAAGAGTGACATGTTTATAGTGATAATTAGGTCAACAAATTAGGAAATAAAATTAATTGACTAATCAAATTTTCCCTGGTCACTAAACTAACCAATCATAAGATGAATATGACACAAATTAACATTGATTGACCAATAAAAAACAATTAAACATAAAAGAAAATATTTTTGGTATTTATTATGATTTTTGCACTCAATTTTGGTAAAAAGTGCATAAAATCAAATAAATGATTTTTTTTTTTTGAAAATGCATTAACTAAAAGTACGAAAATAATATTTAAATAAAAAATAGTTCTTTTTGTGATTTTTTTAGTATCAGTGGAAATAAAATTAGTAACATATAGATAGAAAAATATTCAAAGTCCACTAAGTAAGATTCGAACTCATGACCCTACGTTTGTAAGTTTTATTCCTTACCAATTATGATATATTGCTTATTTAAAACAAAAATCCAATTGAAAGTCTATGAAGACGAGCAAGTATTTGTTATTTTAAAAATACAAATAAATTATTATGTATGTTTTAAAATAAGCAAAATAATTTAAAAATGAATATTTATAAAAACTAAATAATGTTAGTGTAAACGAACCAAAAGAATTTTAAAACCTAATTTTGAAAATAATTGTGACTGTAGCACCGAGGCGAACAAATTTGGAGTATGACAGCAAGGACTGGAACACATCTTGAGACACGTCTGGGCCGAGATGTGCATTTTTTGATGATTCACACGCGCCTTGGCACACATTTGGACAAAGATGTGTTATTTTTTCCAATCTACACGCATTTAGGCATGCACATGACCAGTGCTCCACAACTCTTGTTATATTCTCTCTATTTTTATCCTGTAAAACACACAATACCTTTGCAAAAAGATCGAAAAGCATCTGAACCTGAAAACACTAAAGAGACACAACCAAAGTATAAAATACAGACAGAAAGGGAAATAAAGTACTTGCAACCAATGAGAAGATTAACTAAAGTTACCGGTAAATAAAGATGCAAAAACCAGTGATCAAACTCCCCTAAACTTAAACTGTTGCTTGACCTCAAGAGACAATTACAAAGAGTTCATGAAATTTGTAGCATACCGGTACTCATACATGAGAGCTAATGAAAATCTTCAATCCTAGCATAAAATCTGAGTTCTCCAGCTTCTACAGTATTCTCTGCCATCCAAAACTCTCCAACCCTTCTCCATACGCGTTTCCCTCCTTTTATTTATGCCTTTCCAGGCCTTTCAGACAAGCAATCCCAAAAAATCACGTGCACACGCGTCTTGGGATGCGTCCTAGAGTGTGAAATGCGTCTGGGGACGCGTCCTGGAAAAGGCATGACTTTCCTATGTAGTTCCCCATTTTGATACACGTGTGATGATGCATCTTGTGGTGTGAAACATGTATGGGGATGCGTCTTGGCAGTGAGCACTCTTTTCTGACTTCCTGGCAGAGAGGCACGTCCTGGAAGGCGCTTGAGGACTGAAATGCGTCTGGGCAGAGATGTGCATTTTTTGATGATTCACACGCGTCTTGGAACATATTTGGACATAGATGCGTTCCTTTTCCAGTCTACATGCATTTTGGGCATGCACATGATGAGTGATCCATGACTCTTGTTCTATTCTCTCTATTTTTGTCCTGCAAAACACACAATACCTTTCCAAAAAGATCAAAAGGCATTTGAACCTAAAAACACTAAAGAGACACAACCAAAGTATAAAATGCAGACATAAAGGGAATAAAGTACTTCCAACCAACGAGAATATTAACTAAAATTACCGGTAAATAAATATGCAAAAACCACTGATCAGTTGCATTAGTGGTATCAGAGCAGGTCCGTCCGACCAGGTTTTTATGCGATGTCCATGTCCTATTGGTCGGTTAGTGTGAGCAAGCTATAAATATGTTGTCTTTTCTGACGTTGGTTGCCTACATGTAGAGTATGGCTGGAAGGAGTGATACTGCGATTGTTGCTGCTTTACAGGCTTTTGCTCAGGCTGTGCAGAATCAGCCTAATACTGGTGGGAATGATGATGAAGCTCTTACATGGGGGAGGTTTTAGAGAAATAATTTGTCGATCTACAAGAGAAGACACGATGCAGATGGTGCACAAGTGTGGCTTAAGGGGATTGAAAACATTTTCTGAGTTGTGATCTGCATGGAGAATCAGAAGGTGCATTTTAGCACTTACAAGTTGGAAGAAAAAGCCGAGGACTGGTGGAATAATACACGCCAGAGGATGGAGAGTTTGGGTACAAAGATTACTTGGGTTGTATTTATATCTGTTTTCCTGAATAAGTATTTTCCTGAAGATGTGCATGGTAAGAAGGAGATCGAATTCCTTGAGCTGAAGCAAGGAAGTTCAACGGTTGCTGAGCATGGTGTTAGATTCGAGGAACTAGTGAAGTTTTGTCTGCATTGCTAGATGGGAATTACATTATACACCCAACAACCAATCGAATATGATTACCAAACCACATACTCGTAAATCCATAACCAATTCATACCACACCACAAACATAAAACCAAGAACATGACTCATACAACCAACAAATATATGTCGTTACTACATCTTACCATAGCACCGATGAGGCATCTGATACCACCATATTTTACCATAGCCCCCAACCAACATATTCAAACATCACACCACCAAAGTACCCAAACAACACCCTGCCAAAGTACTCAACCAACACATACCTACTAAACAGCACGACAACCAATGCTTTATTTCTAAAACAAATCAATGTCTCAATTCAACCAACTAACCCGTCCAACTGTAACCTAACCAACACGACCAAACTACAATGACATATGCACCAAACTTGATTACGGTAGCGCGTCCCAAATAAACTAGGGAAATATACTATATGATAGATAACACTAATATTACAGGGACCTCGCATCACGTTGCGTTGGGTTCATCAGTACATTGATGGTCTATGCACCAGTATGTATGGTGCCTAGATACTTTTTTTAAGTACATGCGACATTATTAATAGTGCCTCCTCTTTCCTGTAATTATTTTTTGTTTGAAAGAGAGTTACTGTAATTATTTTTTGTTTGAAAGAGAGAGAGATTGACTACTTGTGAAAAATAATAATTATTGTGACATTTTAATTGAAAATATTTGGAATTTTTATTTTACCCTTAAGTAAATATAAAAATAGTAGAGTGATATCTTGATAGTTAATTACTTTTACAACACCCGAATGATACCTAAAGAAAGACTTGAATCACTTAAATTGAATAACCATAACACCTGATAAATTCAAATATGGATTTAATTAAAGACATCCGATGGTCAACTTTATGAAAAAAATTTCAAAGAATCCAATGTAAACCTTTTTAAAGCAAAAATCATTAACCAAATAATTCAAAAAAGAAAATTAAGAATTAAAGGCACTAGCCGTTAGCGCCTGTTTGGTTTCAAATTCGAAACTCATATCGTTATCATTTATCTCCACACTCCACCTTTTTATTCACTCACCACTCACCAAACCCTTTGCTTCAACCAAACACAACACAAATCAAAATGCAAATGCAAACACCGACGACCGGAACACCAAAACTGAGGCCGCGATCTGGCCGTACACCACTTCAGCCAAAAAACCCTCCCGCCGATCTCACTCTCCATCCTTCCACAAAACCAAAGCTCAAACCCGATCAATCATGTTTTGAGATTACGTTGATCTCAAACGCCGACAAAGAGAATCTTCCGATGGAGATCGCCGCCTCAGCGACATCTCCTGTATCTCCACTGGGGACGTCGCTCGGGGAGGAGCTAAGCGCCATGAAGAAGAAACTTGAGAGACTGAGAACAGATAAAGAGAAAACAGAGAAAATGCTGAAAGAGAGAGAAGCGTTGTTTGACGCAAAGATGAAGGAGATGGAAGAGAAAAGCGAGATTCAGAAGAATCTCGAAATCCAGGTCGATCGATTGTTCCGATTAAAGGAACTCAAGTATCGATGCATGGTGAGAACCATAATTTTTCACAGTTCAATTTGTTTCTAATTCCGATTTCTTAATACTAATTTTTACTTCTCAAATTCAACAGAGAGTTTCTCCGATTCGAACACTTAGAGAGAAGGAACATGAAAAAATTAACAACCAAGCACCATCGCCATCTGAGGTATGTTATACACTAATTTCTCGAATTTCAAAACAATATAGCATTAATAAATCGATTAAATTAGAATCTGAATTGAAATTTGAGAAATGTGAATTTGTTTTTGTTTGTTGAGAAGGTGCGAACAGAGGAAACGGTGGCGTTTGAATCGGAATCGGATTCGGAATCGGTTAAAGAAGAATGTGAAGTAGTTCAGAGTCCAGGTTCAGCTTGTTCACAAACTCGTACTATACATAAAATCTGATAATTGAGAATACCGTTTGGGGAAGTTTTTCTTGTATACATAATTTTCTCGTTATGGCTTTTATTTTTCCCTATTGATTTAAATTTCACCATCCAATTTGCAGTTAAGTTACTATTAATATAAAAAATTTAAAATGAAAGTGGTTCTTAGTTTTATTTTCAGTTTTGGTGTTGTGTTGATGATGTTTCTATATTATGTGTTCTTTTTATTTGTCCAATGATATTCCTTCAGGTTTGGCATAAACCACTTCCAAGTTTCACTTTATATCAAATTGACGCTTTTAATCATAGGCGCAACTATTAGAATATATCTTTGGAATAATCATGTATTAAAAAAAAATCGCAAATAATCATGTTTCAGAAAAAATTACACAAATAATCATGTTTCAGAAGACTCCCCAAAGGAAGAGCCATCTCACTTGGCGCCTCCACTCAGCAATATGTCTTAGACGCCATCCCACTTGACGCCTCCTCTCTCTTTTAGCCAAGTGAGATGACGCATGTACTTTAAAATTGAGAGGAGGCGTCATCTCACTTGACTCCTAGGGCAAAATCCTGTTTTTATAAATAATTCGTCTGTTTCTCCGTCATTTCTCACACTTTCTTGCACTGTTTTCTTATTTTTTACTCTGTTATTTGCGTCACGACATCGCCCATGATTTTTACCAGAGATGATTACATTATCTTGTCCGCCACAAAACCTTCGATAAAAATGAAATTCTGGCACATTCACTCCATGAAGCGTCTGAAGCGAGAGGTGATGCGATGGTTAGATAGAGACATCGTGGAGGGGAAAAAATTAGAAGGATCTAGAGAAGACGAACAACAACCTCACTTGCGACAGGAATACCTAATGTTTGGTTGGAGGAAGTCAAAACAGACAGCGACGTAATGTTGATGATGCATGGGTCAGATGAAATTGTTTTAACGGTTGTAATTTCGTAGACAGTTTATCGTGTTTTTTTCTTGTTCGCGCAATGTTTATTGTAACAAATACTGTTAACGAAAAACCCTAATGTTTACAACATAATAAAAGAAAGATTTTTAGTAATACAATTTTTATGTGGTTGAGGCAGTAGCCCGATTCAGACAATTTTTGCGATTGTGTCCGACTTGACGACATAAACCACACTTTCTTTCCAACTTGTCAAGGGAATCCATTTCGGTAGTGATGCACTTACTTTTGGGACGACCCTTTTTATTCCTTCGCATTTGATCATTGTGTCATACTATTTCGCAGTCGTATGCAGACCAATAATCTGGTTTTGCTACCAAAAGGAAGCTGTTGTTGTAAACGTTTAGCAATGTTTCAGATTTGTAAATGTGTGACAGAAGTTGTAGCGCGTCTTGATGAGTATAGGCACACGCGGCAATGACATGAGAGCAAGGCATACGAAAGGCTTGAAACTTGCCACAATCGCACCAACGAGAAGGTAGTACAACCATATATTCTTGTCTTGGCAGACCCTCGTTGTGGTCGATTGTCTCTTTGACAATGAAGTTGTGGCTGTGCCGGTCAAACCGTATAACTATATGGGTGTTGACTTTGGTACTTTCTACCTTAATATACTTCATGTAGCTTTCACTCCATAGTTGTCCAGATTGCATCACCGCATTCCACATTTCACCTCTTTTGGCAAACAACGAAGTCATCCTAAAATATGTTGATTTAACCAAAGCAGTGACCGAGAGGTTTCATATGCCTTTGAATACCCCATTCATCGATTCAATTAGATTTGTTGTCATGTAGCTCCATCTTTGGCCATTGTCGTATGACCTAGTCCATTTTTCTACCGGAATATTGTCGATCCACCTACCGACTTCCAGATTTGACAAACGAATCTCGTTACGATAATATTTGAACGTAGGTTGTGTCAATGCATATCCCGCATTCATAACCGCTTTCCTAAGTGTTTTGTCTTTGATCTCCCTCGTGAAATTTTAGACGATATGTCTAACGCAATAGACATGCGTAGAAGAAGGGTCATGCCAATCGTTTGCAGGATTATTGTATGCACTTTCAATAGATGCATGTCTATCTGAGAACAAACAGAGATCTGGTTGAGGAGCCACATGTGTTCGCAGATTTTTGAGAAAAAGCTCCAAGCACCACCAGTCTCCCCCTCGACTAGGGCAAAGGCAATTAGGAAAATGTTGTTGTTGTCATCTTGTGCAACTACCATCAGTAGCGTGCCTTTGTATTTCCCATACAACCAAGTCCCGTCAATTTGTATAATTGGTTTGCATGATGCAAACCCTGTGATGCAAGGTTGAAAAGCCCAAAGCACTCGACTGAATATTCCATTTCTATTGAGTTGACTACCATCCGGGGCGTATGCTGACACTGTTTCCAGAATGTAAACAGTACCCAGAGAATAAGTCTGGAGTGCATTCAGGTAGCAAGGAAGTTCTTGGTATGACTCTGTTTACAGTGATTTCTGGTAAACAATCGTTAGTCCTCCAAACTATCGAATAAACTTACTGACTGTTATTCAATTTCTCTGGTAACTCGCAGGATCGACTAGATTGATCCTAGGACGTGTTGGTCATTAGGGTAACTCTCATGATCGAACTGATATTCATGGTTGATATTTAGAATGTTGTGTAGGTGTTTAACTTATTTCGATTTCTCTATTAAAGATCTAAAGGTGTGATCAAATAAATGTGCGTGAAACTAAATTGCATGAATAAAGGTCAATTGTAAAGACATGTAAAACTGCATAAAAGACAAGTAAATGACTTCGAATCATAAAAACGGTTAATGTAAAAGATTCAAAATATGAAGAAAACGTTTAAATGCAAGAAAACTATAAAATGGCTTTAAGTGAAAAAGGTGTTCGAATGATAAAAACTTGAAGATAAAAGCATGAAATGTATAACAGTTTCTGAAATTTAAAGTATTTGAAAAGGAAAGAAAATATTTAAATGTAAGGCATCGGTGAAAAGATTTCGAATGAAAATACTTTAAATGTAAAAACTTGTAAATGGTATTGATAAAGAGATAAAGGAAAGTACTGGAAATGATAAAGAGTTTTCATTAAATCATAAATATGTGGTGTTATCATACGTACATTGCTCTTGCATTCGTTTCCCTAGCCATGTGGTAATTTGAATGTTTACTGAGTTTTTTTTTTGTACAATAGATATGACACACGAAATCCTAATGCTAAGACTTCTATTTATACTACTTCGACCATAACGGTCTTGCTATAAGATTCTGCCACGTTCAGAACATGCAGAGCAATGCCTCTCTCTTGCTTCCACGCGTCTTCGAATGCTCCAGCGCATATATTTCAAATTTCGAACATCCCGCTTGCATTTGAATTTCAAATGTTTTGGCACTTCTTCGCTTCGAACGCATTTCTTAGATACAACCTTGTTATCATTTCGAGACTCCTTTGGATATATTCTCATAACTGTCACTCGAAACTCCAAGCTTTGATATGCCCATTCGAAACACTGCTTCTACTATTTCGAAACATGACGTTTTGTTTCATTTCAATCGAAACGTCCAATTTACTTTGCTTCTAATAATATCATCAAAATCTTCAGCCAACAGACTCCTCCCAGTTTCCATATACCTTTTCAATCGCCTTGGTCTTTGCTAACCACGCCTTTCGGTAAGACGAAGTATAGTTAAATACTGTAGTGATGTAGGAGATTATGGTTTTCACCTTCAAAGATGGATCGTTGCTGACGAGTGGTAGGATTTCTTGACAAATGAGATCATAATTAAGTTTTCGATGATCAAGTGATTGAGTAGAACTGACACAAGTGTGGGTAGACATGGAACCTATGACCCAACAATCACCTCTTAATCTGTATGATGCAGTGAGCTTGAACATACAATCAGGGTGGACACACTTGATCTTGTACCTTTTTGGATTTACACGGTCCACCTTAAAATCGACCGAGTTGAGCATGTGGAATTTTTTGATGGCTCTGATACATTCTTCTCTGTTACGAAATTTGTCTTTCTCTTTTATGTTTTCATCTGACTGCATATACAGATTGAAAAATAAATCAGAAGACGGTTCATCTCCACCCATGTTGAAGTTTGTCATGTGCGGAGGTGGTGTGTAGATCTCGTTTGCAGGAATACCAGGTATCCCATCGTCTTCAGAATCATCATTGACCATTTCGTCAAACTCCAACTCGTCATCTTCTTCTTCATCAACTGCATCTACTTCTGCTTGTTCGGTCTCCAAAGGATCAACCACTTGTGATAGTTGAGGCTCTCGCAGCATAATGTACAACTCAATAGAGTCGTACCCAAAATACTCATGACTGGAAAACATATTCTGAAGATCCTCGTCATCTTGAACCTCAACCTTATAAAATATTATTTGGTTGTTACAAAAAAAACCGAATTCTGATAAAATATTTGTGTCACGGGACCTCGTCCAAGTTTGACCTTCAATCATTTTTTGAAGTACAAGAAATTGGCTTTCCTGTTTAAACAAAATCAGATGTTGTCTGTGTCTCTAAACAAAAACCCAGAGGTGGGACAAATGTATGTCTCACCGTTGAAATATGCATTGATCACATATTAGGGTGTAGAGGCCATTGTGTATGACTGTTTGAAGGTTGGAAGGTTTGAAGTTTATGAGTTATTTACATGAATTTTTGAATGTTCTAGTGTTTGAGAGATTAAGTGAATCGGTGTTTTGATAAATGTAAGACTAAATAGGTCATACTGAATTTGAATTAACCAAGGATGTCCAATAGTGTTACATGTCATACTGAATTTGAATTAACCAAGGATATCCAATAGTGTTACATGCATTCAGAGATGCCTTCTCCAAGGCTGCCATCTAGCTTGCGCATACTCTACACCTACATTGTAACCTCTAAGGCGTCTCCCATCATGTTCAATAGTGTTACATGCATTTAGAGATGCCTTCTCCAAGACTGTCACCTAGCCTGCGCCTACTCTGCAACCCATGCCACCTCTTATTCGCCAATGGGGACAGCGACACCTTTCATTTTTGTACTCTTTCG